GAGCCGCAGCGCTCGCCGGGGCTCGCCCAGCACCGCGCCGGGCGGGCAGCTGGAACCCGACCCTGCCTCCTGCCCAGCACCCAGGGCAGGAGGAAGGTGCTGCGGTCTGCCCCGAGCCCGGGAAGAAGCAGTTTGAGCAGCAGCCGGGGTTAAGGCTGAGTTCAAGGGAGCCATCTCTGCCCTGCGGAGCTCTGGCGCAGGTCTGCTTGCCCAGGGTAAGCTGGTGTGGACGGGAAACTTCTTTCAGCCCGAGATTGCCAGGCTGAAAACAGCCGAGGCTGATCCTCACCAAAATCTATTCCCTTTGGACCGATTTTTTTATGGACAACATGACAACACGTGGATTTTCCAAGCTGGAAGATGTCTGCATTGCTGAAAACTGCTGATTTAGTAGCAGGGCAGCAAAAAAAGGCAGGCTCTGAATGAAGGGGGGAGCCTCAGTTCCTCACAACAAAGGGTGTTTCCTTCCCCTCTCCTTTTCCAAGACTGTTTTGTCCAGTTATGAAGGCACAGTTGCAACACAAGAAGGTCTCCATAGCACTTTAAACCATGTTGTAAGAGGAGAAAGGGCAAAGTGTGTTGCAACTAGGTCCCCCCACACGGTTGTTTGCACTGTTAAGCACTCGGCAGGTAAATTCCATTTTCAGTGGTACTGATCAAGCCTTTCTGAGGAGGATCTAACCGAGCTGTTCAAGCACAGTTAGTAGTTGTGGCAGCAAGCAGAAATAACCTAATATGCAAAGCTTTCAGCATGTCAGAAGATGCTCCAGGAGGTCAAACCTCACATTACTGTCTTCACAGTTGAGTTAGAAAGAACTTATTCGTTTTTATGACTGTATATATCATTAAGAATGTGCCAAAATGAAGCCAATCCCACATGTTAAGTCAGACGGTCGGAGATATATCCACTAGCCTGGGAAGCCATCTAGTGGGAAAAACTGGAATTACTGAAAAATGACACATCGGAAAGACATCCTCAAACTTCTCTACATCTATAGTTACTGAAGCACCACTGCAGTGGAAGTGTACGAGTCTGAGCATCTATACAGAGGTAGCCAAGTTATATTACACAACCAACAGAAGTGAGTGAGGAATCTGAATCCCTTCGAAAATGAATTCAATTTTATCCTTTGGCATCAAACATATTTTTCAAAACAGGCATTGTTCACAGTGGTCATATGGCAACGGAGTGTTCAGGGGTTATTTGTTTGCAAAAAGAAGAGCAACCGAGTTCTGGTGCCACTCACATTTAAAACCTACATCACACATAGTTTTTTAACACAAAGTATGAACAATATCTAAGTCCTTGAATTTCAGCTGTTAAAAGCTCCACAAAAGTTTTCAGAAAGAAAGAAAATAAAATTCAGAGAGAAACTTGCAGAGTTCTTACCTTTAAATGCCAGATTACCTCATATGAAATAAGCCATATGACTATCACTGCATCATCATAAAGTGTCAGGAGAGAGATTTTTGGAGAGAAGACGACGAAGCATTCTAACCAGAAACTGTAAGTCTGTACATATTGTCAGAATCAGGTGGTATTCCCTAACTTGGCTGCATCTGAAATAACCAGAGCTCGGAGAATTTCCATCGCCACTTGGCAGCATTTAGCACCTCGGTGTGTTTTTACAGTAATACCTCCAGAACTGGAGCTCGGGGAGGCACCTGGCATTACATTTTCCGCTCAGTCCAAAAACTCTGAAGGGGAGAGAGAAATTACACAGAGAGCCTAGTGTCTGGTTTAAACAAGAATGACTCAGTGTCTGGACTGGTAACAACTATAACAACTTTCTGGTATGGAAATAAGGAGCAGCGTTAAAAATGAAGGGATATGAAGTTCATTAAAGTAAATTTGATTTTTTGATTCCTGAGTTCAATCTCTTTATGCATAAATCACCACAGACAGCTTTAAAATAGGAAAAGTCAGCCGTATTACACAGTTAACCTGTTCAGATTAAAACCAACATTAATTATTAATTTAAAACATTTGCGAGTCCTTTGAAGCCAGTGAGAATGGAATGATCTTGTGAATATTGATTTCATGTACCTGTTTCCAGCTTGAATAATATTCTAAAATGCACTGGAAGTGTTTTTTTTTCCATTCGTTATGATTTTGGTTTATTGATCTATGCGCAAAGTTGCTACCAAATTTGGAGTGGGAGTCAAAAGACAGTTCTAGATATTTAAAATTTTCTTAACCTGTTCTTCAAATTTCATGAAAGTATGAACTATTTTACTTGTTTACTACTTTACTTTAGATTTACCTTGAAGCAGTGAAAAACAGTAGTTGCTACATTGCACAAATGTACAAAAGCAAAAGCAGATTTATAGTAAAACTGAAGTCACTGCATCTTGCCTGTAATAAATACGGTGAAAAATATATGCAAGTTATTTTAAAATTCAACTAATTCAACCAAAAAGTCAAATAGCTTTAAATTCTACAGATATTATATAGAACACTGAGAACAGCTGAGGTTTGTCTCTTAATTGCAGTTCCACTCTGAAAAGTGGCAAAAAAGTAGTATCCTGGGATTTCATCTAATGATTGTAGAGTAACCATTGCGCTCTTTTTTGGCAAGAGGTCCTTTTCCAAACTGTCACCTTTACTGAATGAACATGTGCTTTAGATCAAAAAGTTCATCTCTGTTAGTGAAACCTCCTAAACTGTAACTTCACGTAGGTTTGATTGTCCAAACTGCTCTCAGTAAACGTCTATAGGTGCAAACAGACACTTAGTACATACCTTTATTGATGGCAAGAAGGATCTGTCACATCACAGCCGTTGTTCCGAAGTGAATCCCTTCCCTGTTCCTATTCAGAAGTCCTTAACCAGTGCACTGGTTCAATAAGCAGACCTGTAAATTTTGTAAAATTGCATCAGTTGCTAATGCCATCACTTAGCTGCAGAATTAATTTTGCATTTTGGACAGCTGCACAGTACTGAACTATTTGTTTCCTATATAGACACTCACAACAAAGTATAAATTGAAAAAAAAACCCCACAACTTAGTTTAAGCCATTTTCATGGCGCTTTAAACTATGTTTTATCCCAGTTTGCAACAAGAGCAAGAAGGTAGTCGTGTAATACATCTCAGTGGTAACTCATTCAGTTTTGTCTTCCGCTTGTCTGTTTAAATGTCTGGGTTCGTACTTCTTACCACAACTGTAAAGGAAGATGGCTTTAATAGAGTTTTGTGAATCTATTCTGAATTAATAAGTTTAAATTTAGATCATCTCTGAATGACACATTCCTGGGACCATAGCTCAAGACATACATGTATTCTTTCTGAGTATTTAACCACAATACTGCCTAACTTTTAATAGTCCAGCTTAAAACTAAACCTGTTGTTCATATTTAGGCTAGCTAATGTAAAGGTAGATTAGGAAGGCACGTTGTAACTGAAAGCCACCTTTTGGATTGTAGTTGGTGTAGACTTATTCGTACTCTCAATAAGAGTCATAGAAAGCTACTTTTTCTTACTTTGTCTTGAAGGAAAAACCAGCAGTGAAAAAGCAACATTTATCTGCAAAACGAGTTGATACACCCTCTATACACATCACTTGCATAACAAAGGTCCAGTTTTGCAGAACAATGTTACATGGCTCTAGGAAGAGGCTCAGGCAGAGTGTCTGAATGCTGAGATCTCGATGTTGCACCTATATATATTGGCAGAACTCTAAATTAGTTCATAGAGCCTTCGCAGCCAAGTTCCTGGCAAACTTGGAAGTCTGTTCATGCAAATGAAGTTGCTAAACTGCAAGAACTTTTGAAAGGAAAAAGACCTGGAGATTAAAAGCAAGCTCAAGGCATGTCTGAAAGCCATTTGGTCTAACAATTCTGGTTTTTCAACTTGAAAAAAACCCACCCAAATAGATACAGTACGTTGGTAAGCAGATGTGAAGAAAACGGGCAACACAGAACAGCACTGTTACACAATGGAAAGTCTGTGTTACTGGGGTGTCAAGTAATATCAGGTTTTGACATCAGTGCAGGGTTCTTGACCATGGACAATCTATCACGATCACAGATTAAAACTAAACCTCCTTTAA